AGCCCGTGCCGAGGTGTGGCGGCATGCGGTGGTGCCTTTTGAGGTGCTTCCTGGACAGGCGGTATTAGAGGTGGGGTTTTACCCTTTCCGTCTAGTGGAAGCACAGCTCTTGGCAGCTGTTTAATGCAAACAAATAAATAGTTTGGCAGCTATAGATGTAGTGCTGTTACAGACGTAGATATCCCTGGAAAGACTGAAGCTCCCTTCGTGCTCTGGGAAAGCCGTAGTTCAGCAGCGAGGGAATTAATACATGGCTATTGAATGTGAGAGCACGTTGGGGAAGTGTCATTATATGCTTGACCTATTGTACTTTTCTCTAGGCGTCCATTAGTGGCCACTGTCAAAGACTGGATGGCTGCTTTCCATTTGGCCGATGGACCTTTGGTCTGACCCGGTGTAACAATTCTTACTTGTTAAATCTGTATGTGTTTGTTATACGCATATAAAATGTAGAGGAAAAAAAATTGGTTTGGCATCTGCACTCAGCTCTGATGTGGTCGTGAACCTGTGTGGGTGTGTGTATTTGGGTATCCATGCCATCTTGCAGGGCTAAGATGAAAATACTTTTGCAGCATAGAAGAATAATTGATACATATTTATCTTTGCTGTATTATGGCTTAGTACTCCAGAATTATTAATTATATTGGTATCTGTTTCAAGAACTCTGCAGCGTCTGTCTTACAAGTGGTAAAAAATAGAGTGCAGACCAAGGCCCTAGAGGTGATCGCATGCTGAGTAAACGTTGCCGGCCGAGTAATGATTTCTCTCTGAATAGTGAGTTGCTTCACAGCACGGTCCTCGTAAGCATTAGCTCTGTGAGCTGCAGAACTGGTAGCATCTGGCTTCGCTTTGCGTTCGTGTCAGGCCTGACGTTCGGTTATGTGCAAGCCTGAACAGAAGCTGTCCTCTACCTGGGGCGTTCTCAGGCGTCTAGCAAGGCTGGAAGCAATGCTGCGCTCTATCTCTCCTATAACCAGCTGCCTATTCCTACAAAGTGTGCAGGAACTCATTTAGTTGTTTTTTTTTTTTGTAAGCGGTCAGCTTCTCTGTCCCTCACCTTTAAATCAAGCTAAAAATCTGGCAGTTCTTCCTTCAAAACAGCTATCGTGGCATCTGTGAGTAGTCTTTTTAAATTGACTGGAAGACAAGAGTACTCACATTCTCTGTGACAGCTTATGTCTACCACGGTAGCTACCTATCCCAATTGTTCATTTTTATTAAAACAACTTTCACGGGGTGAATCTCATCTTTTTAACCATGTAAAAAGTAAGCATCCGCTCTACATTAGCTGCCTAATCTTCTACAAACACAGGACAGGTGCTACCAAAGGATCGTTCATCCTACCTTAATGCAGGTACCTTTAGCGAGAAAAACCTGCTCTCTCTGCTGATCATGAGGAAAGCTTCTGGCTATACCTTGCTGCGGAATCCAGGAGGTCTTTGGTGCTCCTTGGTCTTGCGGCATGTGCTTCTTGACTCTGATAACAAGCAGGAACAGCTGTACTGAGTCAAACCAGGGATCCTTCAGGCTGTATATCCTGTCTCTTCTGCCTCTGATACGAGACCCCTTGGTGTATGCTGGGGACACAAATTCTGGCTTCTCCTCCACCAAATCAAGTCTCTTAACTGCCACCTTGGTGCCATCAAGAAGTGCTGAGTCCTGTCCTTGCTGCTGTTTGTTTTCTCCCTCCAGTTCCCAGTTTCTTGATTTTTGACCATTTGGCCTTCACACCCTCTTGCTTTAATGTTTTTTCTTCCTTGTAATCACTTTATTCCTTCCTGCTTTCTTTTATCTTAGCTGCCCCTTTCCAGGGAAGGTTTGAGAGCTTTTTTGGATTGGGCTAGTAGGAAAGTAATAGTGTCTGAAAGTAGATGTCTAAATAAATGTGTAAGAACAGGTTAAGCATGTGTAATGCTTCCTTCAGTTGCCTCAACCATTTGTAACTCAGGAACTTCCTAGATTTGCCTTTCCAGACCTTAGGGGGTACTGGGGTGCTTGGACTCCACGTTCCCTGATTGTCATCGGAAAGCGACCATGTGCTTGGGCCTGAAGAAGAGAGCGTGCTGGCAGAGCCCCTCATCCGAATGACTTGGGGAAGCTAGAGAGTCACGGAGCTAGGATGAGTTGTTCAGACTAGGCAACAAACATTACGAGAAGCAAATGCCAAGCCATATGCAATATCGCTGTATATAATATGTAAATTGAAAAAAAAACAGATGTTGCAAAACAAGCTGCCAGTATAGTAAAACCAAATATACCTAAGTTATGGTTCTTGTGGCCATTAATCAACCTGCTTCTGTGTGTTCATTGCAACAAACGTGCCAGGCATCAACTTCACCTAGGAGGCCTGTGGCAGAGCTGTGGCTGACAACTCTCCTGGGTTTGGCAGTACCTGAAAGACAATGATCATCTTATTTGTCTGGTGTTCTGCATCATCCACTGTGTGCTAGATTTTGTGTGGCAAATTGAACCAGCCATGCTATGGAAAAGAAAATATAAAGACAAATCACAATAAACTATATAAAATAACACTATATAAAGACAAATCAAACTGTAAGGATTACAAAGCAGCTCTTTTGGCTGCCATTTGGGTGACATTAAAAGGATCATCAAGGCAGTGGCTTCTGAATTTTGCTCCCAAGTGGTTATCATCTCTTCTAGAAATTACCATGCACAGCTTAAGTTCTTTCCTTTTTATAAGCCCAGGAGAATAACACCTGCTATTGGCCAGTGTTAGCGACAGGATATTATTATATGAGAAAGCATTTTGGCCCACTGTTCTATTTTTCTGCTTGAACAAAAAAACTTAGCAGTTATAAGAACTGAAAGGGATTGTGCTGAGATGTTGTCTGCCTCAGAGTGGTCTGTGGGTTTAGCTTCTTTAAAAACTGTATGTTCTTGGGGGTAGGGTCCATACTTTTTCCTAATCAGACACCACTAAACAAGTGTTACCGTTTTTGGGAACATATAATAAATCATGAAACGGATAAAATTTTAGATACAGTATGTAGACTTTTATGTGCATGCAGAGTTACTTCAGTGCTTCCTCATTTTGTAAATTAACATGGACACCAGAAAATCAGGAGCTTAACGTATAAAAAAGAAAATAACTCTGACTGCTGCTAGAATCTGCTATTTCCCTCCTGTTAGCTAGTTGGAAAATCACTGTGGCTGTGATTTTGAATAAGGGCTGCAAATAACATGTACACGTGAAAATTATTTTTGCTTTCATTCCAGTACTAAAAGCAGCTTTTCTGGTGAATTTTTGCATGTTATAGTTAAAAGTAAATGCGGCTACAGATAGTACTGACTTCAGAAAACCTTTTTCTTGTGGAGTGCCTCAGCATAGAGACTCATCGGCTGCTTGTAATGCAACAAATTGTTCTTTCCACAGCCCACAATATTTATAGGCCTTTCACCATTTACAGTGATTTACTACTCCGTTTGACCCCTCTTCCAAGGCTCTACAGCTACAAGAAAATCAGGGGTTTTGATATCAGTTGCTTGTTTTCTCTTTACTATTCTACCTTTCCTTCTCTCCTTCCACATCTTCTCTTCTTCCTGGGCTCTTTTTCAGGACTCTGTATTTAAGTAGCTCTCTGTCTGTCCTGCACTGGTCACAGGGGCTCTGCGAAGAGATCTGTCTCGATCTTCCCTATGGTCAGGCTGTTTAGGGAAGTGCGCAGTCTGCTGTCCTGTGGTCTATGACATGTGTCTGCTTCGTTCCTCGGTTTAAGCTTTGAAACAGGCTTGCGTATGCATTCCAGGAACAGCACATTGTTCTAACTGGTAACAAAAATATACGATTCACGTACTTTTGCTAGAGCTGCTTCCTCTTAACCTTAAAGTTGATTTTTGTTAATGACTTTTTCCTCTCATGGAAACGTGGAAAACAGTCTGGGACTGCAGGTTATTCATACAGAAAAGAAGATGATGAGGTTTGACATTCCACAGGAAAAAGAGATCTGAAGACTTATATCAATGTGTTTCATTTACTGTTTTTTCTGTTGATTGTTTTAAATTCTGAAAATAATAATCATGCATTCTTAGGAAGGAGGTAGGCAAGTCTTTTTCAGCAGTGAGCAGTTTGTTGGGTCACAGTAGCTTATCTTTTTTCCTGGTGGTTTTTCTCATTAAAATAAAAAAATACTAATCCTCCAGATATAAAAAAATTGGGAAAGAAACCTTTGTTAGATCACTGTGTGTTGGGGTGAAATTAAAAGCAGTGGCAAAATTTAACACCAGCGATTGAAACAGTTTGCTTTATTCTGTTCTTCCCATGCCCATGTTATGTTTTTGTTTGTTTGTTTGTTTGTTTGTTTTTAAAGCTAAAAATCTTTAAATCTTAAAATTCACAGGAGATGGGCAGCTTTATTCCTTTATTCAAAGCCCGACTTCCATCACGAGAGCTATGCTGCGTGCTGGACTTGAAGGATATGGGTTCTGGTCACAAGAATGCAAACCAGTGATTTACTCTGTTTTTTCTCCTTTTTGCCCTGGAGTTTAACCAGCACATTAGACTAATATTTTCTTGCTTGCTAGTGGCACTTTCTGTTTCTTTTTTGTTTTGGGTTTTTTTTTGGTAGTGGAAGTCATTAGAGTTTCTCCCAAGAGAATCACTGCCAAAGTAAACAAACATCTTCATGAAAGGAAAATAATGTCTGTGGAGTATTCAGAATTCCATGTTTTACAGACGAGTATTTATGGCAACCAACTAGTGAATTAAAGTGAATGAAATCCTATTTCTAGTTTGCTGCTTCTGCTGCGCTAATTGAATGTGGCAATTTCTGCTAGTTTCTCAGCTATGCAATACAAGTTCTGCATGTTAGTTGTAATTTAGGATGAAGGAAAATACGAGATGAAACTCAGTATACAAAAAGGATGTATTTTTTTTATTGTTGGGAATTGAATAGTGCGTGTAAACCTCCGGGGAATTTCTATTGTCTCTAAAATGTTCTGCATGTGGTTGGCAAGAACAACAAGGGCAGAAGAAAGTTCAGCTAAAAAATTCATAAAGGCTGTCTGGTGGAATGCATTGCAGTCAGCTGTATACCTCTGTGCTCTTATCCCTCTGAACTGGTAATTTTTAGCTGAGATGAAACATTCTGAGGAACAGGAGGCTGGCAGATTTGCAGCGTAGATTGTTTGAAGGTTTAAATACTGCGACTATCTCATCTTACTGCAAGTCTGTAGATATAATGTAAGCTGGAGTTGCTGAAAAGTGATAGAATGGCTCCGTGTGTACAGCCTACAAAACTGTGAAGAGCTTATTTTCTGTGTGCTGCAGAATCCTGCACACTTTCCACCTCCTGTCCAGGATAGCAATAATTCACCAGTGGAGCAAATACACTTCAGATTTGTTGAGGATGAGACCATATCTAGTTCTTTGTTTAAGCAGTGGCTTTCACAAAGGGGACCAGTGCTAAATGGGAACTGCTGCCAACACCATCATATGTTTCGTGACAAATGGGAAGCGTTCAAAAAGTTGGCACTACAAAATAGAGATACTGTCAGTCTCTGTTTAATTCTCAAAATGGCTTGTAGGATTTTAAAGCTTGTGTTGTTGCTGGTGCACTCATGTAGCAGATAGCGTTTTTAACAGTCCTTATAATATGGCTGCTTAATTTGGTTATATTACCAGGACATAAAACAAAATTATTCCAAGGTTAGAGAATACTGAGGTTTTACTGCTGATTTTTTTCCTATGTGCTGTGTGCAGCAGAAGAGTTTGTCCAGCAGTGTGTGCTGCTCTAATCAGAACACAGTATTTTCTCATCTTCTTTTCTATGTACAGTTCAGATAGAGCTGCCACTATTTACCAAACATGAAGGTGGTGCTCACAGCTCTGGGGGTAGGTTTGGGTTGTACTTTAAAGAATGCATGAGACACGTCTACTAATTGCATGAATGTTCAGTGCACATTTATGTACCTGAATATTGGGGTGTAGGAGGCTCCCGGAAATTTTAAGGAATGATCTCAGTGATCATTGGATAGGTCTCCAGAAACTCGTGTAACTGACTTGTGCTAAGAATAACTCTGTGATGCTTCCAGTGTTGGAATAATCTGTTCTGAAGGGTTGCATACTGTAGTGTGACCATATTTAGGAGACGAGGTAGGAGACCCAAGGAGGCTCTGGAAATTTTTGAGCAAGGAGGTTTTGAAGTAGAGTTCTTTGAATCCTGTAGGTAGCCCCTATCGCAGATGCAGCAGGAGGAAGCAAGCATGTGGCTGTACCTAGGTCTGCCCCTCTGTGGGAGTGTATGGACCACGTAGCAAGTTAAACAGGAGTGTATGTTTGCACCTCAGCAGGCTGTTAAAGTAAGTGCTTTAAATTGCTACAAGAAGATTTATTAAAGTTTATTTATTAAACCTCTGAAAGGTGACAGAGGAGCAGGTTCCCCTTCTGAGCCATAGCGTCTGTGTTGTACTAAAAGCAAAGGCAACCTGTCTGATTTGTATGTGAAAATATATTCTCTTGTACTTGACCTTATTTCCTCTTTGAGCGTAAGATGGATGTTCACTAATTTTACACCACCACCCACTGTTTCAATAAAATTATTTTCAACAGATTCTGTAAGAAATTGCTGCTTTAATTAATATGGAATTATCTCAGAAATTAGCAGTACAGACCCTTCAGATTCACCATAGAACTAAAATTAATCAAACTTCTGTGTACAGGTTAGAATTGAAGAAATACAGTTTAAAATTAAGAAAACCATTAACCATATCATTGTGACTAATTATGACTATATATCCAGTAACCAAGGTGGGGTCAACAACGCCAAGGCTGGCTATTGCGATATCTGAGCTCAGCCAGTGAGGAGCTGCTAGGTCGCTGGAGGGTAGGATGCTCTCCTTTCCGTTTAGTGCGGGCATGCAGCATCTGTTGTGAAATACTCCAGCATCCATGGCAGTAACGATGAGACTGGCCCGGTCATGAGGCTGTGCCTCTGGGAGGTGGAAGAGGCAGGCCTGGAGGCAACGCAGAGTTGAACTCGGCTCTGCCACACAGCAAATGAATGCTCTCTCAACACTTGGCTGTTTCTAAGTCATGTCCCAGCTACCTTCCCCACCCCTGGATTTTTTTTTTTTTTTTTTAACTTATTAAGTTACATATCTGAACAGTGCAGGGTGACCGATACTGAAGCTTTCACTTATTTTCCTGCTGGTCTCCCTCCTCCTTCTAAATATGCCTAGCTCTAGTTGGGCCTCAGAAACCAGAGTCTTTAGTCCTCTCGTAATAATTTACATCTCTGATCTAATGATCAATTGTAAATCAATGTTAAGCTTCATCACTTTTGACCGTTCATGCTATTATGATGATATGAAGACATTGAAAAACAATATGCTGGTTTCACCCTGTATATTCTGATTAGTAAAACCATATTACCCGTGTGGTTCTTTCTTAGTGCTCATGTATAACATTTGTAATAATTGTAAAGAAAAGAAATCCAAGAAAAATCCCGGCCAAGAAACTACGTAAAAGCTGAATGTATTAGAATATTTGTGTTAAAATATTTTAGAAGTGCATTAGCTATACAAAAAAAATAATTGAAACCTAGGAAATGTAGTGAAAATATTGCACTTCAATAAAATGAAAGATATTAAAAAAGAAAACACACGGTTAAAGTCATCCAGACAACATTAATTTTCTTCTAGAATGAGAACCTGAGGGAAATGTGGGGTTAAATTTAGTTTGGTTCTGCAGACTCTAATTTTTTAACCCTTTATGCACAGTTTTACTTAAAAGAATTATGGTTGCTTGGATGCCTTAATTGTTAACTCCTCCACCTTCATATGTTTAGCTTTTTTGTAAGTTGAATCTAACTCTGAGCACTGGAAGTTGTGCTTTCTAACCACATGGCTACAAGGTGAAGGAACTAGGGGAAGATCAGACCTATTATGTTCATCTCTTGTACAGAGAATACAAAACCTACTGTAATTCTGTCATTTCCTCTCCCATTATGGTATTGAGAGCTCAAATCCATTTTTATGCAGTGGCACAAAACAGTTTGCTGCTTAAGTATAGCTTACAGAAGCTACTTTGCAGAATTGGTGATCACATATGCCACAAATCAATTGTACCCATGATATTAAAAGGGAAAATTGCTTAGAGCTTTAAAAATTCCCAAACCTTGGTAAATATCCTTGAGTAATTGTGATATCATTTTGGGTCAATGTGCTTTGATTGGAGGTCAGTCAAAATGAATCATCCGAGGAACCTTTGTTTTCATATTTGTAATTTTTTTTTGTGCATGCTTATGTAGTATGTTGTAACTGAAGAGCAGAAAACCTCATAAAATTTCTACATTAGGGAATCAAAGGGCTTTTCTTTTTTTTCCCTTTTTTTTTTTTCCAAATAACCTCTCTTTTCAATGTTGAAAGGTCTTCTTTATATGAGGAAATTTACCAGAGACTATAGTAGTATAATTATGCCTTGTGGACGCTTTTTAATCTTGCATGAATGCCTGTAGAATTCAGGCGTCCACATGGGGAGTTATACCATCAGAACTATAGGGGCATAATTATGCTGGTGAATTCTGTATGAAGACAAATGCTTTATGAAAGGGAATTTTATTTTGGCTCTTCACTTTTCAGCTCATTCATGCTCTGAACTAAAAGGAGTTGATCAAATCAATGAAAGTAATGAAAATTCAATGGTTATCAAGTAGACTGTCAAGTGCTGGGGAAATCGGAAAGTAATAAATATATACGTTTCCTGATAACATTCATGTGCATTTTTGTTCTTATTCTCTTGCCAGTATTTGCGTTTGTGAGGGGTTTAGTGAAAGGTTAATAAACAAGGTCTGTTCTTTGCTGAGCCTCATAAACTAATATACCCAATAGCTAAACACTGGTAGAATATTAGAGATCCTTAGCTCTCATAAAAAGCAGCTGGGGTTTCAGGCAAAGCTGACACTGGAGAATTACTTGAATACTTTTTAGTCTCCGTAGGACCTCTGCAGCTAGCACTGAGCAGATCAGCCACTTAATTTCTATATGTGGATTTTCCTATATCCCAGTTAAATTGTAATTCCTTAAATATGTGAGTCCTAGGACAGTAGTCAAAATGTTCTCTACAAAAGTAGCCCATTTACATGAAAATAATTTTCAATATGTCAGTAAGGGTGTAGTAACACTTAATAATTATTTACAAAATGTGCTTAGAGTGAATTACAAGCATGTCTCAAGGTAATTACTGCATAGACTTTAAGACAAGAAGAGCCCAATCGTGTTGGTGATGTAATCCAGTCCCACCTTAGCAGTGACCACAGAGCATCGCGCTGTAAGTCTTGCCTGAAGACCATTATTTCAAGGTCAACTTCATTAGAAAGATGTCTGTTCGTATTTAAAGAGTTCAGAGAACAAAGAGTCCACCACATCTATACCAACACTCACTGTTCAGGTGAAGTGCTTTATTTGTGGTCTGAATTTAGCTTTGACTTAACTTGTTGAATCTTTGCTGGATTAAAAAGCCTTTAGCACTGGACATTATTCAATGAAAATACTTAAAGGCTGGGATCAAGGCATCTCAGCCCTCTTTTGTTGTTAAGCGAATCTCATTGAGGTGCTTTAGTTTCTAACCATAAGGCAAGATTTCTGTATCACCAGTTTTTCCTGTAGTTTCTTTCAAGTTTTCAAACATCCTTCATAGGTAAGGACATCACGGCTGTCAGCAATGGTATTACTAATGAGAGAATTACAGCACGAGCTGAACAAAAGCATGCGCTTCCCTTTCTGTTTTTGAAGCATGGAGGAAGACATAAGGGCGAATATATTGCTTCTACCAAAATTTTCATTTTTCATGTTTCTTGTCACAAGCCTTTTATGAGAGATGCCTTATAAGGGCTTCCACTGGAGAGTATGCTTTTCCAAGGCAGGCTTATTAAAGGGATACAGCAAAGTGATACCTTGCTGTGATAGCCAGAATATTTGGTTTTGCCCTGGGTAATGTTGCGTACAATGGTAGCGCTTCTCTCCTGCTTCATATTCTTTTTATCTGCTAAGATTTCTTTTAGAGTTAAAAATAGAGTCTCCAATTTTGTAAATATTGTTTACTTTTTGTTCCAACATGTATAACCAATTTTTTTATCATTAATAAAGTATACATTTGTCATGTGGGCATGAATTAAAGTGAAGCGCATTACAAGGTAGCGTGGCTGTGCCATTTTCTTTATTTTCTACTTTGCCAGTTTTTCACCTGTAAAATTTACTGGTACTGATTTTTTGTTTTCATCAAAGCATGGCCCTGTATAGTCACTCACTATATTCACCCAAGATAGTGAATAGAATTAGTGCAGAAAGTCTTTCCTGTGAGCTCACTCTTGAAACATTGTAAATGGAAGATGAGCCTTGTTTTGGCTACCAGTAGAACTTTGTAAGTTATCTATTCTGTAATTAATGTAGAGTACAGAGGTTTTTGCATAGTGCTGACATGATAATCACTGTCATGCAATGGTTAGGTAAGTGTTTTACAAGCATATAAGTATGTGGTTTTGCAGTTGTACCCCATCATTCTGAAGCTGTTTCAGGCCTGCTGTGCAAGCAAACTGAAATGAAATATTTAAACTTCCTTTTACTTAGCAATAGTTTCCACTCTCCAACTGTTCTCTCCAGAGCAGGCTGTGTGCTAGTCATGGTAAGGCCTTAGCTCGACCATCAGAGGAATGTTTTTTGATGTCCTGAAAATAATGGGACCAATTTTATTGTGGTTGTGTGGATGTGTGCAAGGGGCAGGAGCACTACAGAAATGCGCAGAAAAGGGAGGAAGGAAGCCCATCAGCCTGAGGACCGTTTGCAACGTGACCCTGAGAAAGAGGTGCCTGAAATTGTGAGTAAAGAAACTGCCTCTTGCTGTTTGCTTCCTACTGTGTTTGGGGAGACAGCATATAGTATACATGGTTTGTAAATAAATAGGATTGCATTGAATAAGTGCCTGTCAACAATTTGAGGCATAACATACAAGACATCAAAAATCAGCTAATTGTTTCTATCTATGTTTACTGACAAAGTTTATAGCAGTATCTTAGAAAGTCCTCAGTGAAGGTGAATGGAGAGATAATGCATTGATGAAACTGAACTAAAACTACATGGCAAATCTGCTTTTCAGTCTGGAGCCCTAACTGAAAATTATGTATGTCTAGTAGCATTGAGTATTTTTGTTTGTTTTGTGTTTTCTAGTCAGAATAAAACCTTGATAGTTACAAAATCATATAGAAAAGCCTAGGTTGGAAGGGAGCTCTGGATATCATCTGCTCCAAGCTCCTGTTGAAAGCAGGACCTTAGATGACATGATCAGGGGCCTGTCAAGCCCGGTGATTTCCCCCACTTTTCTGGGCAACCTGTTCAAAGTTTGGTTGCTCTCATGTTGAAGAATTTCTTCTTATACCCGGATGGGTTTCCTCTGAAGCAGCTTGTGCCTGTTGCCTCTTTTACTGGGCATCTTTCTGAAGAGAATCTTCATCCTCCCTATAACAACCATTTAAGTGTTGGAAGACTGTGTTCAGCCCCCAGCTGTCTCTTCTCCATGCTGAACAAACTCAATTCTTTCAACCTTTCTTCATCTGTCAAGTTCTCCAGTCCTCTAATCATATCGATGGCCCTCTCTAGACCCTCTCCAATTTTTAAATGTCTCTTTTGAGCTAGAAGGACCAAGACTGGACATAGAATTCCAGATGTGGCCTAATAAGTGCTGAGGAGAGTGGAATTACCACGTCCTTTTGTCTGCTGGTGGCAGACTTACTGAGGCAGCCCACAACACCACTGCCTTCATTGCTGCAAGGGTACCAGGCTGGCTCATGTTCAGCTTGCAATCCACCAGTAGTCCTAGGTCCTTTTACCCCCAATAATACTATTTAATTTTTGACTACATATAATGAAAGCAAAGCACAGAAGTTCACAAAGCTTCAGGAAGAAAAGGGAGGTGCTCTCCTTATTTACCCTAAAGCCCAATGACTTCAGCACTCACCCACAGTACGGGAGATGTGGGTTCAATTCTTTCCTTCTTTTGAAGAGTTGGACCTGTGTTGCTCACAACCCTGAGCGGTGCCCTCGGGAGGAGGCTGTAACAAGCCACAACATATTCTGGGGTTCCTTCAAACTCCCCTGTTGCCATGGTGATATTTTTGTTTAATATACTTTTGTTGTTTCTTAGACTAGGGACTACAGGTGTTGCACCTCCTCAGGGATTATTTGTCCTTTGTGCACTCTCTTCTCTTCTCTTCTCGCTTTGGTTCAGAAATGTGAAAGTCCAGAGAAATTCCCCAAAATTTAGAGAAGAAACCGTGTTTGCCCAGCTCCAGTATGATCCTTACAACATACTAGATCTTTGTGTTTGGTTTCTTCCCTTTGATGTGAATGAACATGCCTGGAGTTAAGTGATTAGTCATGACTTGAATGGCTCCATCTTGGTAGTGTTGGTGAGTAAGTAGGGGCTACCTGAATTTAATTTTTTAAAAAAGGTACTTACCATAATACTTTTTGCTTTGAATATGGTGGTGCTTGCACCTTTTCTTTTTGTACCTCATATAGCTTTATCTATACGGTATAGTAACTTGTGGTGGGATAAGTGATCTACTTGTTTTGTTTTAGAGGAGCCAGGAAATATCTAAAAATATTTTCAAGCACCACAGTTTTTTAACAAAAGTAACTTGGGTATAGTGTTTGGTGTACTGGGTAGTAAAAGTTGATAAATATTCATTGCTACTCTTGTTTTATTTTGGAATCCAAGTGCCAGAACGAAAACAAAACAAAACAAAACAAAAACACCACCATTAACACTGGCAGTTTACTTGCACAATAAAAATGGTGCAGTTGACTTCTCCGGATTATATTGCACTTGCACATGTCAAAGTGTGAAAAACAAAGATGATTTTAATTTAATTGGTATGTCAAAGGGAAAGAATATTTCCACAGCACTTTTTAAAGATAATTTCAAAAAAATTAATAATTTCAAAATTTTAAATGAGAATAATTAATTTGGAATTTCTAGTGTAGCATGAAAATGGCACAAATTTCCATCCATTTTACTAACAGCAAAGCAGAACATGTGACTGGTGGACATTTGTTACAGGGGACAAATTCTGTCGCAATGGAGAGCACCGCTTTCTAGTTGTCGTCCACAATGTGTGAGGAAAAGATGCATTGCCATCAGTAAATCCAGAATGAGGACTTCTTCTGAACATCATTAGGAAAAAGAACACCTTAAATTTTCTAAAGATCTAATATCAGGAAAATCTCAAGGATATCGTAAGATGGAAATGTCTGCATGGAGCAGGAGATAAATCAGCGTTGGACTTTCTGATGCACCGAGCAGCGTCAGCCACTGATCGCCAAAAAACTTGTGGGTACCGCAGTATGCTCTACTTTGTGGAAGCAGACTTTGGCACCAGGCAGTATTATGTGAAACGTAAAATCGACCGGTTCATCAGAACAACTTGTTTCCCTAACTGAGTGCTAAAAGGGGAAGTTTTAATGGAAAATGGGACTTCTCAAGGAAATCCTGCTGGGTATTCTAAAGGCTACGCTTTAATGAGCACACAAGTAAGCTACCTTGGAGAGGAAAGCTAGCCTAGTAAAGAAGGCACAAAGGTGATAATTAAACAAGAAATCAATATGTTAAGTATGGAAAAGGGGGGCATAACTGGGAATGAAAATTGAATCTACAAAATGTAAATGACTTTTAGAGAAGATAAAGGTAAAAAGGAATTATTACTGGCCAGTAGAGCTTAAGACAATAAGAAGGCATTACCAATGTATTAGGGACAAAAGAACAACTAAATCAAGTATAGATTTCAGTCTTGCAGAAAAAGACAGAACAGATCCAATGGCTGGAAATCAAAGCTTGAAAAATTCAATCATTATGAAGATGCGGTGAGGGATGATTACACATAGGAATAATTTCCCAGTGTAGGTAGGTGGTAAGCTTGCCATTGCTAGGAATTTAGTCCAATTGGATACACTTTAATCTGACTCTGGGAACAGGCTTGTGAGTATCTCTGTGGATGGCTGTGGAGGTCATTTCTTCTGTGCAATCTGTACATCTGCAAATTTATATTTGTTCTTTGTCACTCTCTTCTTTCATAAGCTGTGGAGGAGAACAGAAGGCTCTCATTGCCCTCGACATGTTCTGCACGCTCACCTCTATGTTAAGACAATGACTAAAAAAAAAAGTCTCATGCTTCAGGGCTACAGCTGGCTGCCTGCAGAAGGCGAGAAGCTGATTCTGTAGGTTAATTCTGGATTTTTTAATTTCATTTTTCTCTGAAGCCTTAGGGACAGGCATAGCTGGTCATAAAACCTTGGAGAGATGAGGCCAATTCTCTGCAGTGGAGTCCTCTCTTTTAGATAGCTGCTATCTTCCAGCTAGCTGGGGGATCAGACGGTTTCCTCCCTAAGTCAGGGTAGCAAGGACTTTGAGGTCTTTTTGCTTTCCTCTTCATTATGACATCTATGCATATCTGAGATTGTAATTATGATCATTTGGGCATATCTCATATAATCAACTCACTATCGTTACTGGAGCCTGGGGCAGAGGCATCACAGCCTTTTTTGGCGTTCATATTAGCTTAATTTCTTCAAGATTGAATTTTTTTTCTTTTTTTGCATAACCCAACTCACTGGGGAAAGCAGCAGTAAATGGGTGAAGCATTATGTCACATACAAGACAGCAGGTTGCCTGTTCTGGTTTAAATTCTACTGATTTCTAAAGATTTTGCCAGCTTAATTTTGCTGCAGTAAGAGTTATAGGTGACAAATACTGTTTCTTTTTTCAAAACAGGCTGATGCCAGTCGTGATGCTTGACAGAGTTGCAGAGCTGCCACGCAGGCTGCTCGAGTGCCTCTTTGCCGGCTGCGTGCAGCAGCTAACAAAGGGTTTGCTGTGCTTGCAGCAGCGTTGCCTCCGAGTCTGGCTTCCTTGTGCAGCCCTCCCCACCTTTTGTTTAAAAAACTTGCCCTTCCAAATTAAAAATAAGAAACTTTACTAATACAGTACCGAAAAGGGAGGATGCAATGGCTTTTCTTATTGTTTTGGTTCTGCTGAATTGCAAATGGCAGTGAGCGGAAAGAGGGATGTCAGGAGCAGGCAAGCTACATATCGTCATCTCCTAAGAGGCAAACAGGTCTGCCAGCGTTCTGCCTGGTGGCTGTGCTAGCAGGTGGCTCTGGTCTTACACTACTCTCTATTGCACACATGTGAAAGTACTCGCTTGCTTCATGACGATCCTCCTTTCTGTACGGGAAGCTGAGGCTGTCAACAGACACCTATTATCATCCCGTGAAGTTGTGAAAAGAGACTTGCTGTTTCATCAACGTCAGCATGTTTTTTTCTTAAGGGGGTGAAGGAAAGGCAGCCTCCGTCTTACATGAGCCATTAAGTATTCTTTTTGTGGGTACAATGGAGGGACACGTTTTCAATTGCTACTTGTGTGCAAGTGGAGTTGGCACTTGCTTATGTAAATAGACATATTGGCTTACCGCGTAAGTCACTTTACATATCATCTATCGTATCGCTTATCGTATCTCATTGGTTTGCATCACATATAACATTAGCTTATGATATATGTATGCTTAATCATATATCATGGGCTTATCTTGTACACATCATCTAACAGGTGACTGAATACCCATCTGTAGCTCTTTGTGCTTGTACAGAGGTTTGTACATGGGAGCTGCAAGCAAAGGTAAGTCCGGCTGGAAAATTGGAGGTAGATGGATTGAGAGAGATGAAGGGAAAAACCCAACAGATCCAGATTGAATGGCAGAACTAATGAGTACTGGTTTGCTCTTGCTTTGTATCTCTTGAGGTGCGATACATCATGTTCGTCACACTGAAGTGCCCACTACCATGGTACCTTCCAATCTTTCTGTGTCCTCATAGTAAGATTCCTTACTTCCCCTTAGCTCCTCTGCCATGGTGTTGCACTTCGTTTTTTCCATGGCTTTTAGCTACCGTTGCTTGGCCTAGTGACTGGGAATGACCCAGCAGATGCGGTTCTGGAGATGCATGCATGCAAGGTGGCCAACCTATACGTGTTCAGCATGGTCAGCAGCTGCTACCAGCTGAACCTAATCGACTGCCCTTCTCCTCTGCTAGCAACAAAATTAATGACTTTGGGAGCTGCCTTCCATGATGTGCTGAATGTTGTACAGGTCTGTTGTAAGGTCTTACTATTTTAAAAATGTCTACTCTGTTTAATTTGGTTTAAGCTGAACAGACATGACAGAGAGACAGTGTGATGCACGCAAGCTTCATTTCCTCAGGAAGCCAAGCTAAAAAAAAAACTCTGCCTAGGAAAATTTTCAGCCAACATTTGAGAAGCTTGCCATTAATTATCGAAATGAAGAAGCAGAGTGTGCTAACACAGTGTTGATTCAAACCATCAGAATCAATCTCTCAATAAATAGACCTGCTGAAAAACAATACGTAAAACACATCAGACATGCACTGTGTGATGTTCCTTTTTAGCTTCTGTATCTGGCCTTGTCATAAACAGCCTCCAACCCTAAAAATCACCCTCCCTTAACCCAAACTCTACAGGATACACAGAATTTAAAAGGAGCGTTTTATTCCTAAGGTGTCAGAGAATCTTTCTCTTTAAGGTTGTTTATTCAGAGCGGGTAAATCGAACTAGGTCAGCCTGAATTAGGGTGACATTCTTTGGAGTGCCCATGTTCCTGGTGCTCATGGGGCTCAGCATCTCTGGAGGACTGATACTCTGCAAGGTCTCATGCCAACCCTTCCTCTTGGCCTTTATTGCTCAGAGGGCTTCTGCCCTGTGACAGACGTATCTGCACACGCTTTGCAGAGTAGTTTTGGATTCGTTGATGCAAAAAGATGAAGAAGTAAAATATGCGTTTCTTGTATCACTGTTTCTGTTGCTGTAAAGTCAGTATTTTAAAGGCTCTAAAGTTTCTGGTAATGGATTTTTGATTTATTCTGAGAACCAGTCTTCTGGTGTTTATTCACTTGCTGTCTACCTTCTGAAGGTCAGTTGGGAACTACAGCTTTTACAAATCATCCCTTATATTTTGGGTTAATCCAGGCCTTCCTGCACTTTAGTTGGCTGTTGTAAATGCAGTTTATAGTTTGCACAGAATGTGGTTCATCTGCCCTGTGACTAGGAAATGTTAAAAGAAAGCATTCAGTCATAGTTTATGCATCTGGTGATGCGGACTGGGTTTTTTAAAAGAACCCAGAAGAATTAGGCATTCAAATTTCATTAAGATGCTGTGGAAGTGAAGCATATAAACTCTATTAAAAAGCTCAGTCATTATCTATAACTCTTGTTTTTGCTTCAGTTTAATTTGTGCATAAGCTTGCTTAGGGGAGAGAAGTGGATGAGGCTGGTTTTGCACACCTTGCCTTCTCGTTAGTGCTGAGGAGCAACCCTGCCTTAGAGCTTGAGCACGCTGCGGCTTTCTCACCTCTTCCATTTTTAAATGCAGCTTCATGTACCCATCTAACTACTGGTTCTATAATTAAAACATTATTTTCCTAACCGTAGAAAGTAATGTAAATATCTGATCAATAAAACTGTTCATATAAATAGTTTGGTGAATACGATTTTGAAAATATATTATCTATATATACATGTGCCATCCTGGCAATGATTTGTAGCTTTTCATGCTCTGAAATGTTCAGGGAGACAAAGCTGAAAAAAAGTCACTTCAGAAAATAAAATTGTACTGCGGAATGTAAAAGAATTCATTATATTGCTTTTAAATACAATGCAATGTGACTAAAGATTACATGTAATATACTGTCAGATGTCTAACAGAACGCAAAAGCTTCCTCTGTATGCAAGAATCAGTAAAGTACAATATGATAAATATAATGAAGAACAAGATGAGAGATCAATTGGATACACAGTCAGATGATGAAGAGTAAGTAGGGAGCGGAGTTTGTTCTGAAGCCAGAAGGGATTGCTGCAGCAGTACAGAATATGCTTGCTGGAGGAAGGAGTTAATAATTGTGCCAGCAATGTTCAGCCCCTATTTATTGCAAGCGAGAATTAATGGCTTTCCTGCCTGGTGCTGAAAATAGAAGCCAAATTTAAGTTGTTTCTTGAAGGCAGATATAATTAGATCATGAAACTTCTGGCTTTTGGGTCTAAATAATGGGATAAGAATGGCCACAGTAAATCAGAGCAGGGTATGGTCTCTTAACTGTTTCTTGGGGGTGAGAACAGGACAAGCACGGAGTGATACTTTCCCCAATTTCCAGCTGTGCGCAACGCACATACTACTTAAACTGTAGATTTAAGTGCATTATATATTTATTAGCTTCTGCTGAATCCTTTCTCTATAGATTGTTCTAATTATTTATTAAACCCACTTATATTTTTGTTAGCCACAACATTCTTGTAGCAGTAAACTATACGGTGTAGCTATGAATTGTGTGAAAAAATATTTCTGTTTCATTTAAATGGTAATATTTGGTGCCTGCTAAGTCTTATGATATGAGAAATAGTGAACAATTGTTCCTTACTATCTATGCTCTTCTCACTTTTATATACACTTATTTCCTCTTAGTCATCTCTTTTCCAAGTTGAAAAGTACTTTCATCCATCCTCGTACAGTTATAGTAGTACACTGCTATTCATCTGTGTTGTCCAGCATATGCCATTCCTACTTCTAATAAACCTTTGGACACAGGTCAATCAGACCTAGGTGAATTATTTTGGATGTGGATACAGTTTGGGATTATACAGTGGTGTAATAGTTTGTCTTTTGACTTTTCATCCTTATGTAATGATTTGTAACATTTAGTTTGCATTTTCTGTCTGCTAGCGAGCACTGGACAGATGTCTTCAGAGAGGTCGCAACAACGAGTCCGACATTCTTCCTGAAGTGTTAATAAATAATTATTTATTGTTTATCACTGTGTATGTGCAGTTAGTTTTTTTTCCCCCATGTGTATTACTTTGCATCTATTGATATTAAATAACGTCTACATTTTTGTTGCTGAATCACTCAGTGTTCAGTATAACAACACCTTTTGAAGTATTGACTGTTCTGAGTAATTTGTATCATCAGCGAACTTTGCCATCTCATTATTAATTCCCTTTTCCAGATCATTTATGAATATACTGAAGAGAACAAGTTCAAGTGCAGATCCCTGATAGCTTCTCTCCCACGGTGAAAACAATTTATTACTACGCTCCAACACATCATTAATCTACTACAGAATTTTCATCCTTCTGATAACTTAGTTTCTTTAAGAGCCTTTAGAGAGAGATCTTGTCAAAACACTTTGACTTCTGGAAATCAAAGAACATTATAGAAATCCGCATTCCCAAGCTGGCTGACTTCTTTAAAGAACTATTAATATCATCAATTTCATCAACCAACAGTAAATTGAAAAGCCCAAATTTAGTCAGGTTTCTCCTTCTGCAAATATTACATTATTTGTATACTAAGAATATCTACAAGTACTTTCATTATTAGTACCAAGGTTTCTAGCGGTTAGTGACAATTTCTGCAGAAAAGTTATTACTATGCTGCCAGAAACTCCAGAGTGAGGTGCAGATTTTCATTGACCCCGAATGGAACATGGTTTCTTTGTGATAGACGTCTTCTATTTATTTTCTGTAAATGACACATCCCTGAAGCAACAGTGAGGGAATGAAAGTTACATTTTATCACAGTAGCATTTGTGGAAAAGTGAACTGCTAAAGCCCCTATTCATAACGAAACTTGGGCCAGCCATGAATTCCTAAAAAGCTTACCTGCACGTGCTTAATTTTTTTAATTTAAAAATTTATATCTGAGCTTTATGAACTTCTGATTAAACTTTTAAAATAAATTAAGGGTGAGAGGATTAGACAGGGAATTGGAAATGAACCGTAGTATCTTTTGCCTCTAGCTCAGCATTTTGAAGGCAACCCAAATGAGATGTGACGAAGTGCAGCGTGCTCTTTCTTTTTGCAGATCTATGTGTAAGTGGAGTTTGGTCTCTGCCAAGTTCTTTGTGTGTGAATGGCCATGTCACTATCCTGCTACTGTAATTAGCACTAATTAGCCCGTTATTGGAATTTAAAATAAATAGGTCATGATTTAGATATCACAGAGACTAAATTATCCGCTTAGATGATCCACCTGGACTAGATGAACAGCCTGCTAACCCCAACCCTCCCCTTTTCCACCATTTGACAGAAGTTATGAAGATATGTTTTAAGTGGCTGATATGTCCAGCTCCCATGTTGTGCCCTATTTGAAATTTAAACTATAAAATCCTGTTGAAGGACAGTTCCTGAGTGGGAGTCGAATGAAGCTGTGTTTTAGTCTGTTATGGATCTTAGTTGCTATTGGACATCTCCTTCCTCTTTGGAAGATGTGAAAAACTTCAGAGGAATTCTTCATCAGTAGATACTCGGAGAGGTGCTCCTACTTCTTCAACCCCCAGTCTAAACTTCACATCGTTCCTTCTCAAGAGAATATAGTTAATCTAGGTTGGTCCTTGCTTATCATGACTCTGATGCTGTTTCTGCTGCCTGTTGCACTGTCTTGCTGCCAGAATATCTTCAGGCCTGTAGGTACTAGTGAGTCATTTCTCCTGGTCTTCCCTCACCAAAGAAGACATCATGCACTAATAGATGTCCTGGGAGAGGAAAGGAAAGTGCACTTTTTCAGAGAGACATTGGATGCAGCTTAGCGTCAGCACATGTGCAGTCTATGGACTCTTTGGTGACCACCCTACCCCTTTCTCTTTGCTTGACTCTGAAACCCCAGCTGATTCTTCTCTTTTCCTCAAAGCACCTACTGGATTTTCTGTAGTTGCCTCTCCTTATAGAGAAGAGGAGTGCCAGCAGCTGGAAAAGGGCCAGTCCTTCAACCACACTGCTTTCCAGTAGTTGCCAGGTGTCGTGGTTTAACCTCAGTTGGCAACTAAGCACCACACAGCCACTCGCTCACTCTCCCCCCGCCCCGGTGGGTTGGGGGAGAGAATCAGAAGAGCAAAAGTAAGAAAACTCGTGGCTTGAGATAAGAAAAGTTTAAT